AACGCCAGCAGTATGTCAGGGCGGCACAGTACCCCCAAGTCCTCGGCATTGAAAGCAGCCGGCATACAAAGATGCCGAAAGTTAGGTGGGAACCCATCACCTTCTCCGAGGAAGAAGAGGAAGGGATCATCTACCCGCATAACGACCCTATGATCATTCGAGCCGAGATTGCCGAATTCGATGTCGGCCGAATCCTAATCGACAGTGGGAGTTCGGTAAACGTCATCTTCGCCGATGCATTTAAAGAGCTCGGAATGGATGACAGCCAGGTCAATCGGCAACTCTCGACCCTCCTTAGCTTTTCAGGGGACCTGGTCCAGCCAATCGGCAGTGTCAGCTTGCCAATCGCCTTCGGCACAGCCCCACGAAGGACCATGGTCTACGACCAGTTCCTTGTGGTAGACTGTCCTACGGCGTACAACGTTATTGGCGGCCGAACGACGCTCACGGCAATAAAGGCCCACTTATCCCCCCACATGCTACTCATGAAGTTCCCAACCTGCTACGGCACGGGGGCAATCAGGGGCGATCAGTTGAGCGCTCGGAACTGCTACGCCACAGCGTTGAAATCGGCAGCTTCGCACAAGCAAAAGGAAACCTTCACGGTCGCAGACTTGCCGAACGGCAATGAACCAGTGGACGATCCAAGGGAGGAAACGCCCACTCCAGTGGCACAACCTGCTGAAGATCTCGAAACGGTGGTGCTGGACGAGAGCCAACCGGACCGGTGTGTAAGAATCGGTACCATGTTGAACGCCACCCTCCGTGCCGAATTCATCCAGTTCCTTCGGCAGAACTCAGAAGTCTTTGCTTGGTCCTACAACAACATGCCGGGCATATCCCCCGACATCATCAGCCACAAACTGAGCATCTCGCCAGCATTCAAACCTATCAGGCAAAAGCGCCGATCCTATGATGCCGAACGGTATGAGGCCATGAAGAACGAAGTGGACAAACTCATGACCATTGGGTTCATACGGGAAGCCATATACCCGGAATGGCTGGCGAACTCAGTCATGGTTCGGAAGGCAAAGGGCGGATGGCGAATGTGCCAGGACTATACCGACATCAATAAGGCCTGTCCGAAGGATAGTGGTTGACGCCACTGCCGGTCATGAACTGCTCAGCTTCATGGACGCATACTCTGGGTACAACCAGATCTTCATGCACCCTGCCGATAGCGAACACACGGCGTTCATAACTGACAAAGGCCTATATTGCTATAACGTCATGCCGTTCGGCTTGAAGAATGCAGGGGCAACGTACCAGAGGCTGGTCAATCGAATCTTCGCTGAGCAGATCGGCAGTACCATGGAGGTCTACGTGGATGACATGCTAGTAAAGAGCCGAACGGCAGGAGAGCATCTGAAAAACCTATCGCTCATGTTCGGCATCTTGAAGGATTACCAAATGAGACTCAACCCGACGAAGTGCGCCTTCGGCGTATCTTTCGGAAGATTCCACGGTTTCATGATCAGCCAGAGGGGTATTGAAGCAAACCCCGATAAAATCAAAAAGACACAGAAGGACATCCAGAGCCTTACCGGACGAGTAGCGGCCCTCACTCGTTTCATCTCCAAAGCCACAGACAAGTGTGCACCGTTCTTCAAAGCCTTGAAAGGGGGCAAGCACCATATAGAGTGGACTGCCGAATGCGATAAGGCGTTTCAAGACTTGAAGGACTATATGGGCCGAGCACCACTATTGTCAAAACCCCTCCCTGGAGAAACACTCTCCCTATATCTATCGGTATCCAGTACTGCCGTCAGCTCAGTACTGATACGGATCCCCGAGAAGGCAGAGTTGCCGATCTTCTACGTCAGTAAGGCCTTACAGGGGGCAGAGTCTCGGTACCCCCCACTCGAACAGCTGGCCTTTGCCCTGGTCGTTTCTGCCCGACGGTTGAGGCCTTACTTTCAGGCCCACACCATCATCGTTTTAACCAACCAACCCCTTCGGCAGGTTTTTCAAAAACCAGAAACATCCGGCAGGCTGGTGAAATGGGCGATCGAGTTGGGAGAGTTCGACGTACAGTTCAAGCCCAGGCCTGCAGAAAAAGGACAAGCCGTGGCAGACTTCATCGCTGAATTGACACCTTCGGAGGCTTCAGAACTTGAGAAAACCCCTCCACAGGAAGACCTACCGAATGGCAGTCGTCTCAACCAGTCAGCTCCTTCCTGGATCCTACACGTTGATGGCTCGGCAAACCAATAAGGATGCGGAGCTGGTCTGGTACTCACCGCTCCCGATGAAGCCAAAATTGAATGTGCCATTAGGTTTGGCTTCCGAACGTCCAACAACGAAGCCGAATACGG